GGGTGGTGGTCATTGCCTTGATTTCATAGTGTTTTGGCATAGAATTTTAGGAATTATTGCCTTATAAGAATTCACTTTCCATCAGAAAACTAAGCAACCTCATTCTTTGCAGCTCCTGCCATGGAGGTGGTAAAGAGCCTGGCAGCCCTGCTGAAGGATTCAACAGCTTCTCTCATTGAGAAGGTATGGTATTCCGGTATTCCATTCTGATATAATTTCTAACCTCTTAAACGAAGTGAAAAAATGGCTCACATATCAATTTCAGTATGCATGGCAACTCAGAACCCTGCTCGCAGGTACCTGTGAAGCAAAAGCAGCCAGGGAGGCTGTTCTAAGAGCAGCCTCTATGGCATCACATAGAAAAAAAGAAAGCTGCAGTTTAACAGAGATTCATCATCACCAACTCGAAGAACACACAAAAAGCATCGAAAGAAATCAGAAGAGTAGCTTTAGAAAGATGAAGTTGTTTAAAAACTTGGTTTGCCAAAAAAAATTTAAGAAATATTAGAATGTGACTAAATATGGTGAAGGAGATGTTCAAACACTTGCTCTGCACCTGTTGCTGGGCTGACAGGCAGTATTGGTCTTATGCCTTCAGCCTTTATAAAAGATGCCCTAATAAAGCAACAAGCAACAGTGTTTTATATAGGCATGTACTACCTCAGCAGACTCCGAGCATACCGAGATACATACAATAAAATGCAAATAAGCCTGTCGTGCTTATTTGGTAATTCTGGCAATTTATAAAGACAATGTGGTGTGAAGTGGGGAAAGAAAGTTTAGGCTTCAATCTTTGAGCTAGTTGAAAGGCCAAAATTATAGCAAAAGGCAGGATATGGTGTTGTTGCTCTTAGACTTATTGTGTGCTGGTGTAACATGAACAAATATTTTCATCTACAAATTTTCACTTTACTGAAGTGTCCCTTTAATGGTGTGGTACTTGATGTGCTATTTGCATTGTGTTGTATTTTCTGGGCCCACGAGGGGGCCACATATATTGCCGCGCATGATGTGGTGGTCGAGTGGGCACCACTCCTGGGTGTCATGCAGAGGTCCTGGGTTTGAATCCCGGGACCACTGCAGTTGCTTAATTACTCGAAAAACCCGTGGTTCTAGAAATTTCTAGAACATTGTTGTTTGTTCTAGAACAGAATGTTCTAAGGCCAAAAGTTTTAGGGTAAATGTTCTGGAATTGGGAACAGGCTATAAGAAGAGCCCCGCATGGTCAGTGTATTGCCAGCGCTCGACTCTGCTGTCACACCGACATTCGATGCCTGCATTTGGGCACAAACGTTTCTTAAACGTCTATTTTCCTCAGTTTATCTTCGCTTTGTCACCTGTTATACGTTACGATATAGACGCTTTTAATGCACACCAGATTTGGGACACTATAACAGCCTTCTAGTTTTTCACCGAGGTGCCCAGCCACTGAAAAGGGCAATAAGGAACCCAAACAAAGTCCGAATTTGTGATGTCTAAAAAGTCAATAACCTATCGTGCGACATGTGAAGTGAAATGAATGAAGTTAAATTAAACAAAATGTGAAGATCAGTTATGGTGACACCTACGCACACCTGCCTGATAGCATCTCTGTACACTATTTATTTTGGCAGGCACTAATTGAAAGCTTTATATTTGCCTTCTGTAAACTATTTTCATATTCTTTAGATTTCTTTTTGCTTGTGTGCATATGCATTTAAGAAATATTTCTGGCAAAAAACATAATTATTTGAAGTGCAGTAATTCTGTAATCAAGACTTGGTAGTATCTTGTAGTAATTATTGCCCTGTGGAGATGTATTTGCTAACTTGTTTTTCTTGGAATATAACTGCAATCAGGTACTATAAAGGGGCTTTTGAGCCCACTGAGCCCACACCTATGTCTGAATGAGCACTTTCTCATACTTTACAAATGTCTAAAAAGTCAGCACAGGACACTTTGAGTACCCATCCCAGACTGACCATCGAGTTAATTGGGTTGCTCTTCCAAGTTCATCATGCAAAAAAGTGTGGAAAAAAACGAGGGCGACATAGAAGAAACATGGGAGCAGCGCTGACTATCAACTGACAAATTTTATTATGAATACATATAAAAATGCCCCTTCAATCTGTGGCAGTGCGATCCCGTGCTAGGATATCACATGACTATTATTGCAAGCATAATGACAGGGAATAAAAAGTTAGCCCAAATCTAAAAATTTGATCCCACTTTCTAGCAGTACCAATGAAGGTTGACTGATGTAGGTGGCTGTTATCTTTTTTATTTGCTAGAAAGTGCTAGAAAGTTAGAGCACATTTTTAGGCTTGGGCTAGCTTTTTATGACTGCTCTCGATTCCCTGCCAGCCGTGCAAGGCGCTTGCATCGGCAATTGGGCCGGCGATAGAAATTTTTCGGCTCACTTGCAAAGCATTGGTGTGATAGGAAACTCTGCAACTGAACCATAAAGTGCTTCTAGTGACATTGCTCAGAACAACCTAAGGCATGGGCTCATATATGCAAAAATGGCCAGGTTAAACCATTGCTTGGTCAGAAATCAAGAAAAATTGACTGTTTAGGTGTCCTAATATCTTATCGCAGTTGCCATTATTTTTAGATTGATGCCTTTCTGTCACCGGAAAGATTCTCACAGTATAGCTTCAATCATAAAATGGATATTTGATACTGTGATATCTTCCCTTTTTAGCTTTTGTCATAAGTTCATTAGCAAGCCCCTTTGTTATAGATTGTTTATTCAAACAGTGGCATTTAATTGCTTGATCTGTAGCTTTTTTAGCTTTGATGTGAGGGGCAAAGTGAATGGAAGTACACCTCCTCCTTCTCCCCCCCTTTCCACCCCAGTTTTATTTTATATTATTTTCTTGTCTGGTAAATTAAGGGTGTCTAGTGACCTGGAAAACTGGGCATTGTCAGGAAAATTTTAATTACCGGAAAAAATCTGGGAAGTGTCAGGGATATTGTCAAAAAGTGAGCCCAGTCAGGGAAAATGAGTCAGAAACGCTATTGAGTGCCCTGAGCAAAAACTTGAGGACTTGGGGGCAGAAAAATAGGCAATAAATTCTGCTTAGACCGGAGCGCAGGCTCTGCTCACCCAATGTAGAGTGCGCTACTCAATGCAAAGGGAACAGCCAACAAATCCAGTCCAAGCCTTGGATTGAGGGCACGATACTAGGCTATGTCCAGTCAGAGCTTCTAGATTTAGTAACAAATGGGAAAGCCGCAGACACCAATCCAATCCAAGCATTAAGCCGAAAGTATTTGAAAGTGTGCATCTGGCGGCCATGCTGCCATTCGGTTATTAACGGGTATGGTTGAGCGTTGGTGTTTTCATTGTGTTTCCGGAAGTCGCCTCTTACTGAAGATGTCGGCAGCAAGAAAGTGCTCTTTTAACCCGGATTGGACGAACTCGAATATTTCGGTATACGCAAGTTGGATTAAGCCCATGCAAAATGATGCTGACAGTGCTCAATGCTCAATGCCTTGTGTTGTAATGGTCTCATATATTGAACCGCCTCTACAGAGGTCAGGGAATTTCACCTGAAATTGTCAGGGAAAATCTGGAAAAGTTGGGGAATTTCAAAATAATAATTCGCTAGACACCCTGAAATTGCTGTAATTACCCCGAGGAGACTGAGTAGACTTTCTTTGGTAATTATCTTCCTTTCAAATACTACAAATTGCCCAGGTTTGTTCTTCACAGGAGGAGGATCATGTCCAGCCAGCCTTCCCTGTGATGCAAGTCAGGGGAGGGGCCTCAAGTTCACCACTCACAGTGGTGCTGGAGGACTGTTCCTTCGAGGTAACGGACATTGTGGCCGGTATTGCGCTCATTCTTGCGCTATACTGGGTCCATGACATTTCCTGCTGTCCAAAAGCATCCCGGTCACTTGCTGTGATTGGCAACTCCATTGGCTTGACCTACAAGACCAAGTCATTCTTGGTACTAGATTTCATTTCAAAACTGGAAGATTGAGATCTTAAATGAGTGTATTTTTTTACATGTACATTAAAATCTGTTTTTTTAACGAGCACCGTATTACTGTTTTCACTCGACCTTGTATGAGGGCCTGTATGGGCACCCTCTGAAAAGGCTCAAGCAACACGCTTCGTGCTGCATTCCACCCGTTCCTACAATCCATCGTCCTGTGAGCACATGCAGAATTCTCTTCGGACATTCGCATCCGTGCATTGCGGAGTGTTGTAGCTGTGAACAAGAAATGCCCATATTCGAGGGAAATAAACACCTTGCTTAAGGGATTCAATGTCTTGGAAGCTCTTTGTTAGCCCTTCTATAGAGTTCAGGCACACTACATGAAAGGGAAAAGATAACACCTAACAGAGTGTACTTTTAGCTTTGACGTAGAGCTTAATTAACACTTCTTATGGAGCTGAAGTTACCCTTTACGAGGGTGTTAAAATAACTCTTGGCATGAGAGTGTAGCCTTGACCACTCATTAGAGTTGTTCTATTTGCACCTAAGAGAGTAGCCACAACATTCGCTTCGAGGGTATGTACAACACCACCTGTAGGAGTCTATGCTACTCTTCAAAAGTGTTAATTTTACACCTCATTTCAAGGAGTAACCCTTACCCTAGAAAAGAGTAACACTAACTCTCAACAAGAGTAACTCCTTGTTACTCTCAAAAGTGTAAAGTCAACACCTCGTTTTGAAGAGTAATTGTAACTCTTGTCAAGAGTAACTCCTTGTTACTCTTAAAAGAGTAAAGTCAACACCTTCCTTCGAAGAGTAACCCTAACTCTCAAAAAGGGTGGATTCTGCGACAAACCATTTACACTCCAAAAAGTGTTAAGATGACGCCTTTTTTTTTAGAGTGTGGGCTTTCATAAAGAGCACGGCGAAGCCGATCTGCAGGCATCTCAGAGCACCAGCGACAGTTCTTCTCTGGCTGCATGCGTTCATTTCATGTGCTGCATGCTTGTAAACAATGTGGAGAAGATATAATTTTCACCCCCATTTCCGGTAATCTTTGCAGTCACGAGGATAAAAAGAAAGATTGGTGTTTATTCGTTGGTTATTCTGTACAAACGTTGGGCCGGGTTAAGCCAACGTGCTTGGAATGGCGTGGACGAAGTAATTTAGTTGTTTGACGACCGTGACCCTGAAACAGAAAGACAATAAATACAGTCTCCGTGTGTGGTGGCTAGTTCCATGGAATATGTGATAAACTAAAAGCACCAGCCGTCTTGACGCCAAAAACAATACGGCGTGCGTAGTGGCGGCCGCGTAATGGCGGTACGTTGCTTGATTATGTAACTTATTTTTTCGTTGGTTTTTCAAACCTCGGATAAAAGTTCGTTCTACCTTCGCGAATCGGAGCCTACAAGTGGAAAAAAAGATTTTGATCGCAAACACCAATCGCGCCACTAGTGAGCGCCGAAAAGTCTTTGTTATGTGAAAGACTTAGGTCGCAATTTATTGTCCGCGTTTGCCCATCCCCGGCCCCGCCCCTCCTGCAGAGGTGGTAACTTACCGGGTGCTTAGCGGGTGCTTTAAGTCGTCCTAAATTTGAAGGATTTTGTGGTTTTCGATGACGCTCAGCAAGTTTCTATTTTGAACTATATATTTATTTGCACTAATTAAAAAGGGAACTAGTAAATTATAGGCAAGTAGTTTATTAATTTTTGTGATTTCTGCAATTCCTAACGCTCGGCATGGCTGGGAGTTAGTTCCTAAAGAGTTTTATTTCTCTCAGGCATCCTAGGTTTACAAAATAGTGAAAGTTTTCGCAGGACCCGGTATCATTTGCTTTACTAAGGAACTACAGTATCATTCATTGGGTGTAAGCGAATGTAAAAATAGAAGCAAAAATGCGGGTGTCGAGTGAAATACCTGCGGCTGTGCTGATTTTCCAGCCAGTCCATGCTTATGTCAGGCGAACTTACTTGAAGTGGATCTTCCCGGACCTGTCCTCTGGAGCCAGCCACTGGACGACGACCCTCTTCTTCAGGTTCCTCCAGGTGTGCGTGATTCCAGCGCAGTGGCTGTATGCCCTCGAATCCGGTCCGGTGCTCCTGAAGGATCCCACGCCCTTCTCGTTCTCGTCGAAAGCCTTGATCAGGAACCCCTTGAAAGGAGAAACCTCCGAGGACAGCGTCACTGCGCACGGAATGTACTTAAGCCTCCATGCGGTACATCTTTGAATACATCCCAGATATGATACGGGCGTGCACAGTTCTCGTTGTAATGCAGAGTCCGCAGCAGCCAAAATATATGAACTCGTTATAACTTATTGTACAAAAAAAAAAAAAAACCTTGATAGGGAGCACACGCATAGAAGGAGATAACGAGTTCGAAGTACGGGCGTAATAAAATGATTTTCTAATGGCGAAGTTAAACTGGTCGTTTTGGAGCACGCCGGGATCGACTTTTCTGGACAGCGCCTATTTCATGGGGCGGCCGGGATCGAGACGGACGTGTTCCATTCGTCGTTTTGGATCGGCTCCCACTCCTGATCTCGATGCGGATCCGAGAAGAGTGGCTCCGCCGATTTCGGGGGATTCAACCTGAAGCCAGCCTGGCCTGTCCTCAGCGCGCACACGTGACTTCTTTGCTCGCAGAGCATCTCGTCTCAGAAGAATTCCTCATGGCAGCTCGAGAATGCCGTCCTCTTTACTGCTGCTGCTGCTTGATGACAGTTCGTCGTCAAATTGCTCAACTCAAGTAGCTTCTCCAGCACCAGCGGGTCGAGTATAAACGACGAAAAGGATTGCTTCTGTGTCCAGCATGAATTCGACTTCCTCCTCGAACCTCCGCAGAAGGAGCCGAAAATCAAGACGAACTATAACATCGTTTACAAGTATTCTGAAGATGCAAGTGGGGTACGTCGATGCTCATCGCTTGAGGACACACATATTTATCGTGATTAACCTTGCTCGCGCGCTGAACACCTGTTGTTAGCGTCGCGATTGAGAAAACATGTGTTTCGAGATTATGGACCGCGGGAACGGGATTCCCGGGAAGGTAAATGGCGGGAAGGCATGCACCGATCCAGGAGAAGTAGTCATGTTCCACATGGTATCCGGAGGCGGAGCGACTCTGTTCGGATAGCTTGCTCCATCTCGGATCTGGTCTACTGATCCCGGCGCGCCCGAAAACGACCAGTGGAATTTGCCGCTAGATCCTCTCAGCTTCTTTCCGCGTCTCTCGAAACTTGTTGGCACGACACATACCGCTTTTTTATTATAACTGTAATTTATTCATTGTGGAAAACGTGTTCCTTTATGATATGGTTACAGTCTTGAACAGAAATTGGGACATTTAGGGTGTCTTTGTAAATTCCAACGATTTCATTTGCCTTGTAGCATATGGTTTATTGCTCATGGAAATTTTTAAGGTCATTTACATTATTTAATAATGTCAGAATTCAAGGTTTCACTCATTTCAATAAATATATATCAAACAGCTGAGCTCTCAAGGGTAATCACTGTGGGATACTCTGTCCATGCTATGAACTGCCAAAGCGAGAAATATGATATATCAAACAACAGCTGAGCTCTCAAAGGTAATCACTTTGGGATACTCTGCCCATGCTATGAACTGCCAAAGCGCGAAACATGAAGTGTAGCATGACCACATAAAAAAGTATTGCGGATTAAGATAAAATATCCAAGAGCTCAAAGTACACTAATAAAGAGGGCGTTACCATAACCCCCTTGCTTGTATGTCGTATATATAGCTCTTTTTCGTTGAATGTTCGGTCTTCTGGATTCCAAATTACTGTCTTGTTCCCCAGATTCACTCTAGTTAACTAAAACAATTTCTGTCTCGTTTGCAACCGAAACCGAAACTTCGTTTTTTCTAGTTTTTCCGCAGTTTTCCCCGCATTCCACACGTGACGTCACCGGTTGGAAGAGAGGCGCGCAGCCGACACTCTGACACATTATCGCGCCCGCCTTTTTCGCGTATAACAGTGATAAAACAGGGGCTTGTGCTATTCGAAGCTGCTGATAATATCGATTTGCAGAAAATATTACCTTAGTCTACGTGCTAAATTATTAAAAAAAAAACAAAAAAAAAAACGAGAGCCATTGTGATTTTGAGCAAAATGTATTTGCAACTCGGTATACACTCAAGCCGTGTTCGCTGGTTTCGGGAAATCGCTGGCCGGAATCCGTTCTTCTTCTATTAGAAGCAAGTAATTACGCTTGCAGAAAAGGGTCGAGGAGCCACGCCATGAAGCTTTTTTTTACAAATTACCCAAGCACCACGAGGAATGCTCGGAATGTAGGTACATGTACCCCACACGCTCGTCTTACCTAGAAAAGCGTGCCACTTGTTTTAAGTTTTTTCTTGGGGAAGTTATTGTTGCAGAAGACAGTCCGTCTCACACTTCTTGTAGCGTGCACATTCTCTTTGGTGCTTGGATAATTCAGCAAAGGATCTACAGAGCACTCCAGAACAGTGCTTCTTGTCGGTGCCATTTTCAGCGTTCGTGCGTGTGGCGCGTAATTTCATTGCCTTCGAAAGCACGAACATGGCTGTACCGAGCTGTGACCTAACACATGTAGACTTTGATTTTCGGAAACATTGAAATGTATGGTCTAGAATGAACCGCACTCTCGTAGGCCTGAAGGCAGGTTACTATCATAAACACCGTGCTAAAAAAAATCTGGGCGACAGCTAAGCTAAACATCAAGGTGCAATAAAAGGCGTATAAAATGCACAAATGAAATAGTCATTTCAAATAAAGAATATTTTCTTAAAGATGCGAAAGTGCGTAGAACGCAGAGAGATCGCAAACTCATCCACAAATGCACAGGGGGGAGAGGCTAATTTTTTTCATACTTCCTTCAGTAATAGCTTAGAGAACAATGTTCAACTCTATATAACATTTCTCTGCTATAGAACACAAAAGAGAAGCTTTCACCACCTCTTCTGCAGGAGAAAATTGCATTCCAACCATTTGACAAACAGACCAGGCCACGGATCTGTCGTATATTAACGGAGCTCAACACCTGCTCCCTAAACCTCTGTAATACCAGACACGAATATCAGTGTGTCGAAAGTCATGTCTAAACTAAGAACTTCTTTTAGGTGTTTCACTTCTCGCTTTCAACAGATCGGCCGTATGATTGGAACTCCGAGAGTAGCCCAAGCTGGATTCAATGTCTAAAACTGCGAAAGCGTATATATAAAAAAAGTACTCAGGCAGTTGTGAGATACAAATGGGAATGAGCCAAATGTCGACTAGACTGAGATGGCGAAAATTTTTTCTTTATAATATTAGCGCTTCTCTTTGGGCGAATTTAGTTGTCATACTAAAGTGGGTAATTAGGCTAGTTTGTTCATAGTAAAAAAAAATATACAGGAAGATGCATTTGTGGATTCTTCGGGTATGCGTTAGCACGGCCATTGGAAACGCCAGACACGCTCCACTTTGAGAAACGCTAACGCTGACCTCTTCAGAATTTTTCTTTTGGCTTTCTCTTGGTTCCGTTACTTGTTCAGTGTTAGCGTTTCCCAAAGGGGTACATGTGTGGCGTTTCCCAAGGGTAATACAAACTGATTCCCAAAGAATGCACCAATAAATCTTGCTGTAATCACTCTCCCCTTCCCCCCCCCCCCCCCCCCCCCCCCCCTCCCGTTTTGTACTCTGCCTGTCAGAGCACGTGAACGCCGTTGGATACGGTCGTCCATATCACTTGTGTAAAGAACCACATCCATCCCACTCGCTGAAAGAACCGCATCCATATCACTCCTGGAGTGATCCGCATCTATCGTTTTAACTACACATTCCAGTTCACACACTGCTACTACGAAAACCCAGAGGAAAGAAAACCGGCGACGGCAGAGTGGCAACTGAGTACGCCACTGATCTCTATTGTAGTAGGCTGGATCGCGGACCGCAGCCTCGGCAGCTGGGGCCGAGTGTCGCCACTGGCGGCCATTGATTGACACCAGCCAATGCATGGGACAAAATAGAAAAAACAAGAAAAAGTGCCGTTTTCCCCCCGTTTCTAAGCTGTGGTCGGCACTGAAACTTTTTGGATGCTTTTCAATAAGCCCGTCAAATAGCTGGCGTACAAACATTAAAACCAACAGCCCTCGCGATTCTTATAAATAAATATTTTGTGGTCGAGAGTGACTCCGCTGGAGAACAACTTAATGAGGCGAGTTACCTAGAGTTACTGCGGAGTCGGTGGCGGTTTCGTTTAGTTGGGTTTAGCAGACGACAAGCTTGAAGGCTTTGCTACGCGGAATTCGCTCACTCTCGGAAAGCCGTTGTCGAGATGGAACTTCTTCGTCATTCATCAACATTTGGGCTTCCCTGAGGATGGTCTCATTGACGGCAAGTTCCTTTGTTTACTCCACTACGAGAGCAAGCTTGCCAGCTCAGCCGTAGGTGCTCCGGTACGTTTGAGTTTTTTATTCGGCGACCCAACGTTTGACGAATACCGATTCGATCTCCCAACACCCAACATAAGGATCGCAGCGTACCATAAAATACTCGCCTCCGCGCACAGCGTACGCGCTTCAATATTCTTACTTCTGTGCGTTTCTCCCATAGACTTGCGTGTATTGCCTGGGGTCAAGCAATGGCCGCCGGTGGCGACACTAACGGGCTCCCGATCCGCGATCCAGCCTACTAAAATAGAGATCAGTGGAGTACGCCCTCATTCAACCACGGCGCAGCGCACCACCTCCTACATAATAACAAAGCCGGGGTGCTGAATGAGGGGGTGTCGAGAAGGCCAAAGATGGGCACAGATTGGATACGACGGTTGCGTCACCGTTCGGCTCAAACTTGACTCGAAGCCAAGCGCTGACGCAGCACTCTTTTCGAATCTGTGTCTAGCGTTGGCCTTTTCTGTTGAAGCCATCTCATTCAGCACTACGGCTTTGTTATCTAGGAGGTGTTGCGTGGCGCCGCCTCCCCTCTGGCTCCGCACCGCGAGTCCGATCCCCAGAACCCCCAACGCGGCGAGGGTAAAAAAGAGAGGGAGAGGAGGACACTCTAGCAAGGATAGACACCCTAGCAACGGCTCACGGCGGATGGCTTGCTCGTGGAGAGAGACGCTGCCGCCGTCAACATGGGCAGCGTTTTCAACGAGTTTGCCCTGCGGTAGCGTAGCTCTCTGGTAAGGTGCTTGTCATAT